ACCCTGGGGACTAGAGCTTGTGGACTGCCTTGGCTCTTGGCTATCAGTCTGCCCTCTAAACAATAGCAGGCCTTTTACCTTTGGCTAGTCTCAACTTACTGATTTATTAAAACACCAGTGCTATAATTTACCACCAAGAGCACTGACTTTAATTGCATACGTATCTGTGGCACATTTAGAACCCTCAATGTTATCGCTTTCCAGCTCCTGTGTTTGCTGCCTTTGGAGTAAGTCAATAAAAGTCAGAGAATTATGTTTTTTTCTCTGCCTATTACTAGTCTTGGCCTCAAACAGAACGTTTGCTTTTTCCTGTTTGAGAAAGTAGCATTACTAGTAGTAGCATGTAATATTGACAGGGAATGTAGAATTACCGTTATTATACTGCTATAATTACTGAATTTCTGAATAAATTACTGAATAAACTGATTTGGATTAAAATGAAGGAATGTCCTGTATTGCTACTAGCTATCAAGCAGTGTGGTGTTTTGATGTTCTTGGTTTACAGTGTAATAATATTTTTGCACTGGCAAGGTATACAAATTATGTTATACAAAAGCAATGTTTAAAGTAAGTATATATAGTGTGAAGAGGATTAATACAAGAAAATGTCAATAAAGGCTTTAAACATGCTGTATTATGTTTAAGTTTTGAACTTTACACATACTGTATTATCAGTAAATAAGAAAATGTTAATCTTAACATAAATCCTTGAAAATTTGACTCCTGTACAGAGGATCTGATGATTAGCTGGAACTGACTAAACAAAGCAGTAGACACAATATTGCCTACGTTCATAAGGGTTCTATAAATCATTGTAGCCAAAATTTTGTGGCCAATTTAAAAATGTCCTAATAACAAATTCTATCTACTGTAACTGCAATTAATTGTTGAACAAATAGTTGGCATTTATGTATCAAAATTTTCAACTATTCTGAGTGTGTTCTTGGTCATACAATGATCCTAAAATCTTGATGGGAATTGTTCAATCTACACGTAGTCCTCATTTAATAACCACAATTGGGACCAGCAACTCAGTTGTTAAATGAAATGGTTGCTAGGTGAAAGTATAAGTATGCTTATGATCTGATTTCAGCTTTCCTTTGCTTTACAGACCTGTGAAGGTTGCAAATGTGAGGATTAATCGTGTTATTTTTCATCACCACTGTAACTGCAAATGGTCATTAAACAAGGCAGTTCCTAAATGAAGGCTATCTCTATTTCAAAGGGAAGCAGAAGAGAAATACAAGTTAAGAAAACAATGACTTGCCTAAGTATTCTAGATGTTAGTGATTGAGAGGTTTCATTGTGTAGATATCTACTCATACAAAGATTTTAAGTTACAGGCTATTATTATAAATTCATATATAATGCTGTTCTGTATGGAAGAGAGGTTCAGTCTGGCATAGCTGTTAGTTTTCCTGCTGTTAATAGACAATTTCAAGACCCCATCTATCCATTCTTATGGTTCTTATTCTTTACGAACACGAAACATAAAGGTAATAAAAGTGTTTGAATATTTAAAATGAAAAAATAATGGTTCAGGAAAGCTTTTATGATGTTGTAAATTGCCCTGAGTTGCTTAATATTGAGATGGGTGGCATATACATCGCTGACTATAGGGGGCGAAATTTTGGCTCCTCGGATGGGGTACGCAACTTGGGTGTCCTCCTGGATCCACGGCTGACACTGGATGACCAGTTGACGGCCGTGACCAGGGGGGCGTTTTATCAGGTTCGCCTGATTCACCAGTTGCGACCTTTTCTGGACCGGGACGCCCTACGCACAGTCACTCATGCCCTTGTCACCTCCCGCCTGGACTACTGCAATGCTCTCTA